TTTCCTGAATCCTCTTTCCTGCTCTTCTTGCAGATGGGTGTCACACTCGCCAACTTCCAGTCTGCTGGGACCTCCCTGGACAGCCAAGACTGCTGATAAATGATGGAAAGTAGCTTGGTGAGCCCCCGCACCAGCTCCCTCAGAAGTCTTGGATGGATTTCAGCCAGTCCCATAGATTTGAGTATGTCTATGTGTTGCAGCAGGTCACTGACCATCTCTTCCTGGAGTGCAAGAGGATCATTTTGCTCATGATCTCTGTCTTGTATTCAGGGGGTTGGATTCCCAAAATGCAACTGATCTTGTTACTTAAGACTGGGGCCAAGAAGGTGTTAAGCACCTCAAATTTTCCTCATCTTTAATTACCATGTTTCCTCCTGCCTCTAACAGAGAATGAATCCTTTCCCTGGCCCTTCTTTTGCTGCTAATGTATTTATAGAAACATTTCTTATCATCTTTTACAGCAGAAGCCAGGTTAATTTCTAGTTGGTCTTTGGACTTTCTAATATTCTTTCTGCATAACCTAACAACATCTTTATAGTCATCACATGTGGCCTTCGGTTTCTTCCAAAGGCCATAAAATTTCCTTTTTTTTTCCCCCTGAATTGCAGTCAAAGCTCCCTGTTCAGTCTTCTTTGACAATTCATCTTATGACTCATGAGGATGACCTTTGTGTATAGCCTGTCAGCATTGTCTCAGGACTGTGGGCAGAAATTCCTATCCAGCCCATGTCAAGCAGGTACTCCTTTTCCCTCTGTCCTCCTCTTGACAGCAATGCTGAGCTATTTTTGCCTTTTACAAAGGCCAAGTGAAAATGGTAGGTCTTTCATGTGAGGACACGTCATAGTCAAGCAAAGAAATCTCTGCCGGTGGCATGTGGCCCTGCTTGTCTTTGTCCTCTCCATGTGTCTCTTAACTATGGTGGGGAGTGAGCAGCCCTTGAGGATCCTGATATCTGTTCTCCTTGACAGGCTTTCCTTCTCAGAGATCTGCTGCACCACCACTGTCCCCAAAATACTGGAAATTTTCCCGGTCACCAGGACCACCACTGTTGTTTTGCTGCTTTCCGTTCCCCACATCTTCCTGGGAATGATTTGAGTTCCTGATCCCCTGAGTCATGTCCTTCAGACACGATGTTACCACTGGCATCAGGCCCGCCCAGGCCTCACATTCCCAGCAGCTCCCTCTGCCCACCACACAGAAACCTGCTCCCGTCCCATGTCCCTGGAGCCCCCCGCACTCCCTCTGGGATGCAGACAAAAATCCCCAACACGGCAGCAGCCCCAGCAGGGGAGGAATTGTGTCCTGGAGAGCATCTCTAGTGGAAGATGACCAAAGCATTCATTGTGGCAGGGCCACAAAACAAAAAAACCAAAGCATTCATTGTGGCAGGCCAACATACTAACTACTGCAGTGACATCAGCTCAGTCAGCATTGTGGCCTTCTGAGGTGACAAAGAAAGCTCAGTTTCTGATTCCCGAATAAAAATATCTCTGTGAGGTACTGGAAGGTGATTGACAAACCCCATTCCCACCTGGGTGGAAAAGAATGCTATGATTTGGATCCCACCTCAAGGTAGAATTCATGTCTGTCCTCAGGCTGAGCAGTACACAAACACCTGTGAGGGTTGATCTGGAATTTGTTGGAAACATGGGACATCTGGAAGGGCAGACAATAAATAGGTTAGAATATGAGAACACAGTCTAAGTCCTTCCAGAACGACATTTCAAGTGAGCTGAATACTTTTTCACACTCACTTAACATCTAAGAATGATTGTTCGTTTGGGCAATCTTTCCCTTTTTCTTCATTTCTGTAACTTCTTAGTCATCTGGAAAAGTGACGGCCACGATAGCACTGGTGCAGCTGTTGCAGGGAGACTCAATGACCTACACATATCCCTTCTAAATTCAATTCTGTGATACTGTGGCAGGAGACATGAAGGGAAGCTGAGAGAACTGGCCTTCTTCAGCCTTGAAAAGAGAAGTTTGAGAGAGATGAAGAGCCAGATGCAACCAAACTCTTCTTGAGAACAGCAACAGCATAAAAGGCAACAGACACAGTCTGGAAACGTGGAAATGCCTACTAGAAACTCAGAATTGTTTTTGTTTAACCATGAGGGTGGAGTGTGATTGTAGATGGATCCCAGTAAGAATGGCACCCGAGTTCCACATGGTGTTGATTAAAATATCATTAAGTGGACCCACCACAAGAAGTTAAAAGATCATATCACAGGTAATGTTATGCCCCTTTAGATGCTGGGAACTCTATCTCAGGGAGTGTGAGACAGACTTGAAGCCTAGATTCAGCACATGATGCAAATCCTGCCTGTGCCTAGATTCACTGGCTTTGTTGTCCTTGGAGTCTGTATTGGATTTTCCTTAGAAAGAAACAATCTTATTAATCATTTGTACTGTTCAGCAAAATGTTGTTTATATGAAAAGAGGCTGCTTCCCTCATAGATCAAGACAAGAACATGTCTGTGGCATCAGTGCCAAGTGTGCCAAGTGACAGATACAGGACAGCAGAGCACAAATGTTTGTGCTTCCTCGGGTCAGTTGTCCTGTGGGTCCTTCACTTCTCCATAACCAACCATCTTGTGGTTACTGTGGCCACCGTGGGCGGGCAAGTGGAGTCCCTGGTTCAGGAGGTACTTTTGTTTGGAGAGAGGGAGAAAGCTAGCACTGCTAGCACTACGTTTGAAAAGGACAGTGGGTGTCTGCAGGGCCTGTCTGTCTCTCTGAGAGCTAAATCCTAGAGGTGGGTCGGGAGAGGCATCCGAGCAGAAAATGCACTGGAGACAGTCAGGGGGTGAGAGAGGACACAGGCATCAAAGAGAAAGAGACTCTTAGGGGTGTGACCCTGGTGTCAGGGTGAATGGTTGCAGGAAGGGGGTGAGAGAGGACACAGGCATCAAAGAGGAAGAGACTCTTAGGGGTGTGACCCTGGCGTCAGGGTGAATGGTTGCAGGGTGATGACTGTGGCATATTTTCACTTCTCATTAGAAATGCAGAAATCCTCAACTTCCCATACATGTCTTGTGTCTGCTGTGAAGACTTGGAAGGCAGATTCATGTCAGGAGCTCATTGGAGGGTAAGCTTCAGCCTGCTCCTCTACCTGGGAAAGGCTGTGTCAGCCTCAAGGCTGTCCACGCTTCTAGAAACCTTTTACATCACGAGTAGGTGCACAGAGCCAGAGGTCCTGGGCTGCAGCACAGCAGAGTTCATCTGCTATTTCTGGGCATTTGTGATAGAGGTGTGACACCCGGAAAAGACTCTATAACTTGAGAAGTTATAAAGTAGGTATGTTTTAATAAGTGTGCTGGTGCACGGGGGATCTCTGCTCCAAAGACGTGCACACCTGAACGATGCAGTTACCTTGGTTATATGCAGTGAAAGTTACATATTCATGAGA